AGCCATGTTCATCGATGCTAAAAGAAAATGATTTGGCACTACAACCGTCTTTCTGCTTATTTGTAAGTCACCATTTGAATAGTTTTCTCTTCACAATTCAAGTTTGCAACTCTGTGAATAGTCTCTGTAATTTGTCTATCATCGTTATAGATACCTTTTTGAGTATTCTTGCACCTTTTGTTTGCTTTTGTGGCTACCAACAAGAGCTTTCTTGAACTTTTTCTGTTTTCTCTGTTTTTTGCTTGACAGGTAAGTCAAAGTAGACACGAAAGTTCAAACAAAAAGTAAGACTGCATTTACCATGGACTGCTCAGTAACATATTCTTCAAGTGTTTGGAATTGACTTTGTTAGCTTGTAAATAGAAATGCTCTAATGGTTGTCTGTCTATACATGTAAATAAAAATAGAATTGAGGGGTTTTCCTGTTATAATTTTAACCCTAGTTATCTTTATCCTTAAGATTCGTTATGCTAGATCCTTGAATTTAATCAAGACACTTCTATTGCCAGCTTTGCCGTCCATTGGATTAGGGAATGTATAATATAGGGTATCAGTTAGGGTTCGTTTACGGCTATGAAATTACACATCAAAGAATGATCTTCAAAAATAAATGTTTTTTTTTTGTTTTCTTTTCTGAAAAAAACTGCATTAGTATGAGATATGATGAGAGTGGTGGGTTATATTTTTGTCTTTTCTAAATATTATTGGACCATAAAATGTGTACGAAATACAAGAAAATTAGCCTAAACAGTACTGGCACAGAAACTTCCTCCTATAAAGAGAGTACGAAGTTAAACAGCACTTTTCATGGTTGGCACAATGAGAAGCAGCAGCTTCTTTCACTTTTTCCTCTTCTTTGGGGGCTGAAGGGCCTCTTCCTCATCCTCTTCTTCATCCTCTGGTTCATCCTCTTCCACAATTTCTTCCTCCTCCTTGTCCTCACCTTCATCATCATCATTCTCCTCCTCGTCCTCATCATCTTCATTGTCCTGATCTCCATCATCATCACCATCATCATCGTCGTCGTCACGGTTGTTGCCATCTTCTTCTTCTTCCTCTTCACCATCTTCGCCTACTCCAGCGGCTTCTCCTCCAGACTCAGCTTTGGAGTTGTTGCTTTTGCCATTAGGGTTGTTCCCACTGCCTCCCCCATCATCAGACGATAGCTCCTCTTCGGTCTCTCCTAATCCACCATCGTTGTTCTTCTCTTCATCCCCATCTTCGTCAGCATCCACTGCTTCGTAGTTGGAATGAACTCCTTCACTTTTTTGTCCGCAAGCTGTTGAGGGCGCAAAAGGATCCTGAAACCACGGGATAAACGCAACTCAAAAGTGGAAGTCAAATATGCAAAACAAGAAGGTTTAAGGTTAGACATCCAATAATGAACGGACCAAAGGAATTCTTAAATTAATGTGATTAAACTTCACCAAGTCTAATCAATTTGTAACAGAAATGACAACATTAAGCAATGTGTGACCTTGAATGCAACGGATGTTGACTGCTGAGTAGCAAACAGTGTAATTTTTTGTTTCGGTTTGTGTGAACCAGACCGAACCGGAGCTCACCCCGACATGTAACGGGGTCTACATTCCTATGTACGTGTCTCGCTCACGAGTCATCGAGTGAGAAAAGAGACAGACATATGGGGTATAAACTGTCACAGGTAAATTTTGTAGGTCTATGATAAAGAGAGACAAACACATGAAGCATACACCTTGTTACATGTAAATTTAAAAAAAGAGTAAAACAAGAAAATGTTTCCATAAATCTGAAGGTGAGTCTCCAAGTCTTTCCCTTTTGTTTTTGTTTTTCTTTTTGGGGAAACTTATCCCAAGTGTGGAAGTAAATTATCGTCTCCACTTTTTGGAAGAGCCTTTTATACCAGAATGTCAATTGCCATCATCTGTCACAGGGTGCGTATGTACACCACCAGGCTACCATGGGGGTGTAGCTTGTAAATTGGACCATAATGTAAGTCCAAAAATAGATCCACAAACCATGAATGATGATGTGTGACAAGATTTTCATAAAATTTCAAACCAAAACTGACATGACAGGTACTAATAAAATATCTTAATTAATTACAGAAATGAGATTTTTCTTTATTTTAATTTAACTTCTACGGAGACCGTTGACTCCCATAACAAACAAAAAACGACACAGAATATCCTTTCATCATATGCCTTCCTCGCAATAATAAACAATAAATAAATCCCCAGAACCGATTTAAAAAATTATCCAAGAAAAACCAAAAAGCATATAAAAAGATATTTTCAAGGCTCAGAAAAAAAACAAGAAGATATTTTAAGAACATTAATAATTAAATTATTCGTAAAAAATTAAAGAAAAAAAGAAAGAAAATGAACTCACTTGAGCGGCCAAAGAAAGCAAGGCTGACGTAAGCAGAGTAGCAAGAGCCTCCCAGGCGCACGTTAGCAACGAGACCTGGGCAACCGTAACCTCGCCACCACCACCACTCCTTTTCGTCTCCATTTGTACGGACTCGACGACGTGCGCAAAGCCCTGTCAAGTCGACAACAATTCAGATGTACGGTCAGATCTGTTCCCCTACTTGGTCCCACCGTTAGATCTGGCAACTAAATTAATTAAGCACTAGACAAAATATTTTTAAAAATATAAAATAAAATAAACTGTAACTAAAACCGGTCGTCGGAGCATTTTTCCGAGAAAACTATGAAGGAACGAAAACGACGACGTCGAAGAGAAAGTTGAAAACCGTTGAAACGAAGCAGTGTGAGAAAATGGGCGAAGTGAAGTGAAGGAAGAAGAAAATTAGGTAGAGGAAGAGAGCGAGGACCTGAAAGAGATGAGCTTGAAGCAGAGCAGAGAGAGATCTGAGAATTTGTGAAGCTTCTTCGTCTGGTGGTTTAGTGTGGTGAGAGTGTGTTTCTGTGTTTGTGCTCTAAAGCGTCAGTGAGCTTTGCGTTGGAATGACTTTCGTTTTCAGCCGTTGGATTGTGATCCTGCACAGAAAGAACCTTTCCTTCTGTGTCTGTGTGCGTGAGAGAGAGAGAGAGAGAGAGGGAGAGAGAGGCCGTAAAGTTGGAAATCAATGTAGTAGGGCCAATAGGGAAGCATGGGCAGTGATTTTAAACTAAATTACCAACCAGTCCTGTGGGAAGAAAATAACTCTTTCTTTTCTTGTTACACGTGACGAACGAGAGAGATAGACACGTAATATATCTTTTGTTACATTTTCACAACAATATTATACAATTATACTTCTTATGAGTAATACGTCGGTATGATGAATTTATACGCATTTTTCTTTGTGAAATTCGCTAAAATAGTCATTTTTCACAATTTCTATTCTAAATTAATATTTATTATTTTAATACTCTTTTACGGAACAAATTGAGAGTAGGAATTAACATTTCTCGTGGTTAATTTTAAATAGTCACAGTGGTCCAGTCCATACCAAAACGGTGACAAATAAATATTTACGAGACCTAAGATATGGCATGCCTGTCATGATCTTAATTAGTTGGAGGGCCCAATCAGCTCATTTCGCTTTAAGTGATGCTGCAGCATAATACCTGTGATTTTGTTCACAACTTTATTTATTATTGTCGTTTTAATGTGTTTTTGTATTTTTATTTTTCCGCTCAAGAATTGCTATAGCTTCTTCTGCACTCCAAGTCTCAAATCTCAAATCTCAAATCTCAAACAACTTTGTTGGAGCACCAGAAAAAGCGAAAAAGAAGAATATCATAATCTCGGCATATCAATGAAAGAGAGAATATCATAATCTCGGCATTTGTCCGCACTAATTTTTTTAACAATCTCAGAGACAGCAATGCTTTATCTTTATGTGAACAGGCACTTGGAAAGTGATCAAATTCCACTGATATTTTCTCCCAAAGACTTTGACCCTTTTATTGATTCTATCTTCAATCTTCCCACCACCTAAAGGCATATGTCCGTTCCTCCTGCCATTTACCCAACCCAACCCAACCCAACCCAAAAAAAAACTATATGAACCAATCAACCTCCTCCAGCTTGGGTTTGTTTTGTATCACTTCAGTTGCACCAATTTTACTTGCGTAGCAACTCTTTTTGGACCGAACATGGGTACCATTTCTCTACTCATCAAATCCATGTATGAGTTACCAACAAAATTCGTCCCAAGTTCGAATTCCCCGCCTCCATTGATTGAAAAAATGCGTCTGTTACGAGTTTATATTGCATTATATCCCATGATTAGGTTTTTGTGTTTTCGTCTCATATAGCGTAATGACATTGCAAATAAGGAATGTGAGAATGACACTCAAGATTTAACAAAATAAGTATATTTTTTTAATTATTCACAGTTCATGAGACGGCTGTTACTAGAACAAATGATCATTGGAAACAAGATAAATTATCTGGTATTTAGATATTTTATAAATATATGGGGCAAATTTAAAGAGGGATTTACCCAGAATTATGCAGATGGACATTCTTAGTACAAGCCCGAATAAGTAATTGGGCTAAGCAAAGCCCAAGTGGGAACCAAATACCATACTAGAAAATTATATATCAAAGCTTGAATGCTGAATTAATTAATTTATTTATTATCTTTTGTTTATGTACTTTGCAGTATAATAATTAACAATATTGTTGCTGCACAGCTTTTTATTCTGGTTGGCTAAACAAGATTATGTAATCTATATTTAGTTTTAATATTAAAAATCAGAAAGGAATCACAAGCACAGCGTGGTCAGGATGGCCGAGTGGTCTAAGGCGCCAGACTCAAGTTCTGGTCCTCTAACGAGGGCGTGGGTTCAAATCCCACTTCTGACAATTCATGTATTCTTCTTTTTTTTATATTTTTATTTCTTATACTTTTGAAACAGAAAGAAAAGAAAGTTCCGTCCTATGGAAAATACTAATTTCTCAAAAATGCAAAACCAAAAAAAATTCTGAATCATAAACAGCAGAACAGATGAAGCTCAATCATAATGGAGGAAGAAGAACATGTATAAACAAACAGATGCATGCTAGTAGGGAGCTGAACTCGTGCGCCGGAGTTGGTATTTAGGCATGGAAATAGGGTTTGAAGCTAAGATCATCTCCACCTCCTGCAACAACAAAAAAGAAAAACACCAAGAAACAATCATTTTCCATCCAATCTTTCTTGCTTTCTTAACATGAAGATAATGACCAAAAACTTATAATAGTTCTCACATTGCAAGTAAATAGTTAGCCAGTGGTGGCTCTGATAATTCTAAATGCATGATTTAAATGAATGCTAAGAAGAATTTGGTACCTTTTGCTTTTTGAGCCAGCTATTCACTTTTCCCAACTGGAATACTTCATGCTCCAACTGATTGGTATAAGCCTAAAACAGGAAACAAAGAACTCTCATAAGTTGCAAGTTTATATTAAACAGAAATCTTGCTTTAGATCCAAGAATTGTATTTGAACTTCAATTTTTTTATGACCTGCTTCCTTGCCCTTGACCTGGCAGCTGATTCGCGGTTCTTGATCATCCTCTTCTGTCTCCTCTCTATAGTTCTCTCCTTCATTTCATCCGAAAAATGGCGTTTCCTCACAGCGGTTGCCTGAGACTCGCAAGAGGAAGCTGAAATTGCTGGCATTGGCATTGACATGCCAACTTGGTTCTCTGAGTAATCAAAATTCACAGCTGAGTTCTCATACACTGACTCACTAACTTTCAAATTTGAATCCAGCATTGTCATCTGCTGCTGAACAGCAGCCATTTGAAATTGAAGCCAATCTGTCTGCTGTGATACAACACCTGTTGGATCAATTGCCATGATTGGCTGAGAAGCATTCATGAGACTAGGTTGGTTCCCTATGTTAATGACACCGGCACGAACTAAAAAATGTTCGGGAGTAACTGGAGTCTCCCCGATAGTACTCAACCGTTGCTGCAACGACTCGTTGGCCACCACGGTGTTGACATGTTCATGATGAGCTATTTCCTTCCAAACCTCATCCGCAGCCTTCCTACTCAATGCTCCATTCAAGTTGAAATTCCCTAGAAAAAATGAAGCCGGCAATGAGGAGGAGGAAGGGTTTTGTAGCAGCTGCCCCTCTTCAACTGATATCACATTTTTAAGCAACTCATCAAAATGCATGCCATTCGAAGGCTTGCTGTTAATATTTCCCAGGTGGCTCTGGGCCTCATCCAAATTAGAGAGATTGTAAGACTCCTGCCTAGCCAGAGGAGGAAACTGTGGCCTCTCACCTCCATTTCCAGACTCCAAAGTCCTGTCCTCCATAACCCCTTACACTAAATTTATCGAAATTATCGGAAAGCTTCTAAAAAGAAAAGTTCCCAACAATTTGTTCAAAGTGAAGAAAGCTATCAGAAGTGCAAGCAAAACCAAGAAGCAACATGATCAGATTCTAAGTCAATTGATTGTCACTCACTAAACCCAGTAGAGAAATTTATATAAAAACTTACGTAAATCAAAATTTTGAAAAGAACAGTAAAAAATTGTATAGAAGGAAGGATAAATTTAAACCATGTTTTGATGAATTTAAAGCCATCATCACGTTGTGCAATGTGGAGAATGGGAAGGTGTGTGAAGAGTGGAGAGTGAGGAAGTAGTGAGAGAGTTCATAAACAAGATTTTGAGGAGCGAAATGTGAGCCGCCAGAAATGAACTGGCTGAAGCTGATTTGTTGTAGAGGATCCCTATTTTCAGTGAGAAGAGGAGATTGTAACAGAGTTGCTCATCTCAACAGCCAAACCAGATTTTCATGCTACATTTTTGGGATAGAGAGACCCAACCATTCCACTCTTCTCTCTCTCTCTCTCTCTCTCTCGATTTCTACTTGATTTTCTCTTTGGTGAGTGAGAATTTTAGTGCGGCCAGTTGGTACATGACCGTTATGACAGTTGGTTCTTCTAGAAGACCTTGACTGTTAATGGACTCAGCCACACCATATGCAAGGCCCCAAGGTGAAAAGATGGGCTTTGTTTGAGTTTCTTATTGAGATTTTTAAATCCACCACCAAAATCAAACCACTAATGAATTGGGTTTTCAGATTTATGTCAATTGGTTTAGCCAAAGTAGTTCATTCATATTGTTATTATTATTATTTTTTTAATACAATCGATAGTCTAAACTATAAGAGAATGAGTGTTTCTCATATATTATTAAGGTGTCATAAGAGTTTGAACCTAATCTACCGGTTAAGGCCATTTTCCACTACACTAAACTACTTTGGCGATATTCTGATATGTTGATAACCGTTAAAAATTGAAAAGCAAGAGACAATGACTAAAGTTACATTACATCCTTATTTTATACTCACAAAACAAAAACAAGAAACAAAAAAAAAAAAAAAAAAAAAAATCCCATCAGTCAAGAATGTATGTCTTTTCCTTTTGCCAACATGGTATTGACAATTTCACCACTCAAAATTTTCTTTTCTTCTTTTTCTTTTTATCTTAATAAAAGCTTTTTTAAGGAAAAAAATAATACAAAATCACAATAAAAGTTAAAACTAACAAAGGGATATAAAGAAAGGGTCCTCCTCAGCTATGGGAAATAAATAAAATAAATACAACCGTTTTCTGAGTGTGATAATATTCCATGAGTGGTGCTTGTCCTTTTGAGCCCAGGATTGCTCCAAGAAAGAAAAAAAGAAATTATCTTCAAACCCATGAAAGCTTTATACATTCAACGCAAATAAGAAAACAGAAAAACAGAATCTACTTTCTCATGCGTGGCTCAAAAAGAACTTCCTCTTGCACCACCAAAACAAGCATAATATTACACAAGGACAGAAGAACAAACATGTATGGTTGTTGTTGGAACAACTTCTTTGTTTTCCCATATGCCTTCCTATATTCTTAAATAGTTGCACCAAGTATCAACAATTAGATCACACACAGTACTTGAAACCAAAAAAAAAAAACCCTTTGGTGTGAATCATTTTTGGGGTTTGGATATATTATTATTATTAAACAATTTTGTTCAGAGACAAAGATCTATGCAGAAAATCAGAGACATAAAAAAAAAATTATAAAAATAATAATAATAATAAAAAGAATGAGTGGGAGGGGATCAAAGTGGCAAGTGCTAAAATTATTGCAGCATTGTGAACCCTCCTTATTGATTAAGTGAATGACGTCTGCGTGTTCAATTATGCCATGACAAGAAAAAGAGAAATAAATGTTGATAAAAAGGCAGCTTGGTTTAAAGACATATTGGGATCTCGTGTCAACTTTGTAAGGAGTTATTAATTGGTATATAAAGAATTAGACTCTATACACACTAAAGTCGATGCCATATGACAAAATTCTATATCTGTTTAATAACCCGAATAGTTAAGTTTTGAGAAAATATCGACCTGTTTATTGTAAGCGTGAGTTCGTGACAGCAAAAAAGAAGCTTTTTTTTTTTTCTTTCAGGTGGGAAAGTTGGAATCACATACATCAATTAATTCCTATGATTTCCCATAAACGAATAGAATTCGAGTATTTGACAATCACCATGATAATGGAGAATATTTGAAGCCGTATAATGGTGGTAAGATTAATGGTTGGTGTTTTTGAAATGCTTTTCTTTTTGACTGTTTTTCAATGATCCCTTCGTGTGGAGGATCCGTTCACATAACATGGGACTAACTTGGCCACTAGAATCTCATCTGAGGACTAACCCACTTTGATAGTTAGGCCATATTCGGCTGCACTTGGCGTGTACTTTTGTGCCATCTTTTGCAAATACATACATTAATTATACAAAGGAATATGAAGAAAGAAATTTGTTTTTTTATGGAAGCTTCAAATTCCCAATGCTTTGACCTAAACAAATGCATAATGAATTGCATAGCTTACGTTGCTTAAGCGCCATCAATTACACGATTCTCTTCCCCTATTTGTAGTGATTTGTTGAATGTAAAGTATTGCACCATATAAGATCTTGAGTCTAATCAACCTATACAAGTACATGTATTACGATTTATCTCAAAATTTTATACTTTACTCTAATTTATAGAAACGGGAATTCGAACTCAGGTGAAAAGAAGACATACACGCTATCCTAGACAACCAATGTAACCCATGCTTTTGAAATTTGTTTATATTTAAGTTCACTTTAAATCTTATTTAGTCTTAACAGGTAAGATATTGACAAGTCACATACCACATCATATCACTTGGTGATTAGAATTTGAGAAGAAGAGTTGTAAGGAAGAGAAGAACACATAAAGTTTTAAAAGGGGGGGGAAAAAAAAAAAAAAAAAAAAGAGGGAAGGCGTGGGCGGGGTGAGAGACCAAAGTCCAAACAAAATGCCTTTTAGTAAATGATTTTTCTTAAAGTTATCTCATGCTGGAGATGCGTTCGGTATAAGCACTAGAAAAATCACTTTAGATGTTCATTAGTGATGGGAGTTGGGAAGCAGATGCCATTAGCTCATAAAAACAAATTATTTATAAATAGAAAGAAATGAAAAAAAGCTTGAAAAGAAATCAAGGTCCCATCATCCCTAAGCATTATAAATAAAGCAAAAGTGAGGGAGCCCTAATTTTATTCAGATTAATCTGAGCCTTATGGATGGTGCTTGGCTGTCTTTTCGTTTTTGAAATGGATTTATATACCCTAAAGCACATGCGTGCTAGCACAAAACTTACCAATTTTTTAAATTTCTTTAGTTACTTAATTCATTTGTTTATCATATGTGATGGCAACAGCCGATATCGTTTTAGTAGATATTAGATTCTGATTAGATTTAGAAAAGAAAAGAAAATCTCTTTCATTGAAGGATAACGAAATCAAATATAGGAGATCTATGTTGCATCAATAAATACTCTTAAGGGTATACTAGTGATTTGCCCCCTAAACTTGTACCTAATTTTCAATTAACCCTTTATCCTTTTTATTTTTCAGAAAATTAAGGATATGAACTTTTTTTTTCGCCAATTTCCCCCCTCCGTCTAAATCCACAACATTTCATCCAATGAAAAACGATGTAACGCCCACAAGATGCATGGAGGAGAGGAAGATAGAGAAAGAGACACACAATTGGAAGCAAATAAAGGAGTCTTGTGCAACCTTTGGGGAATAACTTGGCAGTGGCAAAGCAGTAACATAGACAGAGATAGACTGAAAGCCATACCTTGAAGAAGTTGGCTGTTTTTGATGGGGTTGATGTGCTGGAGGAGATAGAGCTAAGGGAGGGGGGCGATAGGGTTGCTAGTTCAGTGTCTTTTTTTTGGAGTCAATTTTCTTCTTTTTCTTCAATTTTTAAAAATAATTTAACTGAAAATTGGATGAAATGTTGAGGATTTAGACGGCATGGGGGAAATTGGAGGGAAAAAAAAGTTCATGTCCTTCATTTTTTAAAACAAGGAATAAGGGGTTAATTGAAATTTAAGTACAAGTTCATGGGGCAAATCACTAGTATACCCATACTCTTAATCACTTGAATTACAATTTCTTATAAATTATTTATTTTATTTTATTTAAAGTACTTATATTGTTATGAACTAGTTGTTAGTCTAGCGGTATTTCTCTTTCTAATATTAAACTAAGTATCGGATTTGAAACCTAACAACTTTACAAACCTTAAACCTTAAAGTAGTATAAATAATAATAAAAATTCTATTTTGTGTAAAGCAACCTAATTAATTGATTACTTTTTTCAATGTTAATTACTTGATTAGTTGTGGTCAGTAAATATCATACCTCAATAATTGGTGATCACCCTGGTGGCGATCATGACCAAACATGAAGCATAATCTATCATATGTAATTTATAAGCCACTTGGCCATATGTTTTATCTTTTTGTCGTTTCTTTTTTCTAGGTTTTGTTTGATTTTTTTCCTTGCTTTTTCTTGCACTGTGTGTGTGCTTGGTTGACGCAGCATTTCTTTGTCTTACATGGTATCCACAGTGGCAGTGCACCATTATGCTCTACCAGAGCCGAAAGAAAATAGAATATGACAGCCAATATGGCAACACATTAGTAATGCTATCTTGTTCGATTTATCTTTTCACCGTGAATTTAGAGTAATTTTTAAGTACGATAGTAACGTCGTCACATGATGTTATCAAATTATGTCATCCATTCGAAGTTTAATATTTGAATTAGTAACATCATGTGACGGTGTGACCGTAACTCTACAGAAAATTTCTCGTGAAATCTAAATCTCGTATTCATATAAAATTTAGTACGATCAATTATGCAGATTCGAAATCTTAACCTCATAAAATAGTCTAATATAATAGCACTTCTAACATGTTGGATATTCACTTTGAATTCTCA